CCGATCTTCCAATCCTGTCATCCATTAAAATTAAATACCATAATAAAGTAGAGTTCATGATAATATAAAACATGCCAAGAATTTGTCGTGGTTATGGAAACTAAGACATCTTTATCTTATATTCGTGATCAAATAGGATTTTAAGACCCTGCCTTCTGATTAATTTGAAACAGCAAACTTACCACTCGGTTATATGTTTACTCTTTTTTTCCACCGCACTAAGCAGCTTAGAATAATTCAAAGCAATCCTTAATAAGATGCTCAATAATGGATCCTGATTGAGAATGTAACGCAGTAAATTGAGGAGCAGGATGGTCAATTTATTAACTCAGATTAATTTAGGTAATAATGCACTAATAGGAGCCATTATGATTAGGAGTACATGTGAGAAAAAAGAAGGCAATAAGTCAGTGCTTAAAGATTGACTTTAATTTTTCACACCACATCATTGTTTCTTTCAGGTTAAATGTTTTAACAACAAGCCGTGGAAAAAATGCCAACCACTGTTGAAAAATTATTAGACTACGAGACATGGTATTGTATATAAAGCTATACTACAGCTAAGTGTCTGTATATGCGGTTCCTAAAAAAGTATTCAAATTATTACCAAGTGTCTGATTGATAACCCAACAGCTACAATAATAAGTTGATTTAGAACACCCCTCACCCAACATAATAATGAAGCGTTTGATTATACAGTTTGAACGAGAAAGCAACACCATCACTATCCTTCGTAAAGTGACCTTTAATGAAAGGCCTGTGAGGGAATAATAATTGGGGTTGGAATTTTTTTTCCCCAAAGTGTGCGCAAAGCTGCACGAGACGAGTCCACTTCAATGACCAACACATTTATATAAAAACCACAGATAATTCTAATAAACTGCGCTTATCCAAAGTATCAGTCGCAATAATAAAGATACGAACGTTACGTTAAACAACGCTGATAAGAACGTGACGAACCTTACATAATTTCATGATATATATGTATATATATTTGAATGGTCCCTGTTTCTTTTTATTTATTTTTTTATCAAACAGTAACATGAATAAAATGAGTGCATTTGATGAATCCCCTCTGTACCTTTTTATTATTTCTTTCCCTAGCTTTTAAATATTTTTTAGCTCCGGAAATTATATATATGTTAATTGTCCTAGTTATAGTTAACACTATCCAGTTGTAAATGGCAAAGCGAGATACAATCAATCATGGGGTTTCTTTTTGTCCTTATAATTCTTGCCTTTTAATAAAGTGTCATCCTTTGCTGATTTTATAACAGTTTTATATCATTAATTCTGGGGCCCCATCCCCATGTATCGTCCACTCATTCGTCTAAATATAATACAATAAGATCGCTCTCAGATTAATTATTTTGAATATAAATATATGAAGGTTTATATATATAAACATACGAACAGGGAATCAATCAACTGCGCCAACAGGTGAGATACAAATGTACAGTTAATTAGTTTAAGTGACTCTTATTATAGGCAAACAAAAACATTAATCTAAAGCACTGCAGATTCCAGGCTCGATGAACAAACTTAAAAATGCTTCAAGAGAATAAGGCGCCGCTAAAATTTAAAAAAAAAAAAAAAACTAAAATGTCTCAACCTCATATGGTTTCCTGCTAGTAATATAATCTCACTGGTCCCATCAGGTCCCAAGCTTTCTCTGATCAAAACCCCACCACTTTTAATACCACTGAAGGACTCTGGTCCCAACAAACGCCCCCTAAAATGTCGTTGGCCTGCCTTAAATACGCTCCGGCTTCTGCAAATATATATACTCCTCCAGTCCTTAATATAGGACCTAATTGTTGAGTTGGTTTTGGTTCTAAATATAAGACCCATTTCTCATGTTTATCAATTTTCTCTAAATTACCCCTATAGATACTCCATCAACCATAATCAAGTAGAAGATAGAGAGGTGTATTAAGAAAAATGATTATGGTATTTTAGGAAAAACATGTCACAATTTTTATAATTAACTAACTTACCTAACTTCCTTAATCTAATCAAATTAGTTAAATGGGTCCTATATTAAGGACCGGAGGAGTATATATATAGTGTATATATATAATCTCTATCACTGAAACAAAAGATCATGTAGTTATAGGATTGAAAAAGATAAGCATTGTGAGGCTGCTTCCAGAAAAGTTGAGGGAAGGGTGGTGGCGTGAGGTTCGCATTCACGTTCACAATATACACGTAATATACATACATATACATATATATATATATATATAGTTGTCTTCACGAGCTTCATGGGCACCCCGTGGGATTTTGGGAATATATGGGCACTATGCCCCTCCCACTTTGTCTCTTTTTAATAAGATAGGGCTTCTGTTGCTTTCACTTACTCAACCTTTAACCATATCCTTCCATAGTGAAAGGCCTTCTTTATTATGATAAAATAATGTAAGTAAGTGATTCTGGTTAAAACGTCACATGGCATCTTCACAATCCATTTCACGTTTCACCCACGTACGCTGAGTTGTGTTAGAGTAGAGAGTTCTTTTTAATAGCAAGTTTAATTTAAAGGCGGTCTCCGATATTTGACGGCTTTAAAAAACTTACATTTATAAGGAATTTATATCATTTGCTAATGTGAAGATATATAGACAGAATCATTAAAAAAAATAAACAAATAAAACAGAGATGATTTAAAGGGAGCTTGCTTGCACTTTGAATGCGTGGCTTTTTTGGTTTGGACCCGTGCCACCGATTAACACCGAAAGTAATATATGAAAGCCACACTCGGTTTTGTACGTATAGGCGCTCTTCTTTCTTAAAGATAATATACTTATTCGGTTCTTAATATAAGACCTATTTAACTAATTTGATTGAATTAAGGAAGTTAGGTAAGTTAGTTAATTATGAGAAATGTGACATGTTTTTCCTGAAACACCATAATCATTTTTCTTAATACTTTATCTTCTTCTTCTACTTAATTATGGTTAAAGGAGTTTCCATAGGGATAATTTAGAGAAAATTGATAAATATGAGAAATGTGTCTTATATTTATGATCAAAACCAACTCAACAATTAGATCTTATATTAAGGACCGGAAGAGTATATAGATTTTGTGTTTCGTGCTTCCTACGGCAAAATGCCTCTAGAGGCTTTAATTATTTTATATATATTCAGGTTACTTCAACCTTGTTATATTATAAAATATAGCTTGCTCACTTAATCTAGCAAGCCGCGTCAGTGAATAAATTCAAAATCTCAAACAATGATCGGCCATTGTCAATTACAAAAAGCCTTGGATTCTTCCTTCTTGTCAAGGAGCGTTGAGATATACATTTCATTATTTATAAATTTTCTTCATCAACTCGCACAAGTAATTATCATGTGAACGCTGTGTGTGTTTGTGTGAAACGATCCCACAGATTGCTGCTGTTACGTTGTGCTTGATTTGATTAGGAAGAAAGAAGAAAAATTGACCCAAAAAAAAGGTAATTTCGCACTTGTAATACTGAATTATTGGACTCATCTAACAATTAGAAATAATGACATAAATTTTAGCTGAGATAACAGGAACAGGAAGCGAACAGGTGAAGAACAGAGTGTGTACATGGGAAATTTGAGGACGCACAAATTAAGATCTCTCATAGCTGTACATGAAGCACATGAAAAATATAGGTAACCAAAGTCAAAACAAGTGCGGGCCAAAACCAAAGAGATTCCAGTATTTGTAATTATTATATATATAGATGTCCCACAGGCACATTGAGAAACACATGAATTTGGCTTCCCTTTTGATTTTCTGGAGAATTCGTCTCACTGTTCATGTATTACTGTTTTGCTTTGAATTTTTTAATGATAAATTATAGTCTTGGTTTAAAGAATGCAAAAGATTTTGAAAGGAAAGGAAAATTAGCCTATAATATAATCGTAGTCGAGTGGAGACTTGTCCATCCTACAGAAACCAAGAAAGAAGGTTGGCAAAAGAAAAAAGAAAAGAAACCAAGAGGGAAGAAAAAACAGGGTGAGTCCGGAATCAATTATGGAGTGACACGTAGACGACCATGAATTGGTGTCGGTGAGTTGGCCTTCACCACGAAAAAGACGGTTTTGGATCACTTCCTCACTGGTAGTCATCCAAAGCCAAAACAAACATCTTTTCCCCAACAAAATGAAACACACACTTTCATTACTCCTAGCTTGTTTATGTTTTCACGTTATCATGGCCAATTCGAAGAAATACAGTGATACTAGTAAATTAGTCTGGTTAATTTGAAAGAAGAAGAAGAAGAAGAGATCTTGCTCATGAAAGAGAAAGAGAAGTCGATAAATTGAAATCCCCTGTTCAAAAGAGAATCATCCTTACTTAATGGGCAAGTTGCAAGGTTGGCAAATGTCTTTGTGGGGATACGAGTGGGTTACCATTAATAAATGGTAAAGTGAATGAGCATGAACTTGGTTGGCTCAATTCTGAGATCATTCCTCCATTTCATTTATAGAATTACTAAAACACAAACACATTGTACTCCATCACCGCCCTTTCTTGGTTTTAAAAATAAACCTTCACTCAACTTTACAGCCTACAAAGTCAAGATCAGTAGAACTGGTGGCAGTACCCGCTGAAGAGGGCACGCCCCAAAAGGCCTTGTTTGGGGGGAAGAGAAAGACAAGGGCGCGTAATCAAGACGTTTTGTTACCTTTTTCTTTAAAAGATGGAATTTTCCGAAAATTAATGCATCCTCTTTCTTATTAATTACCGACACGGACACTGCCTCAAGCCTCAAAGTTCAGCACCACATGCCCCCCGGCCTTTAGTCCTTTGATGCCCCTCCATCGGTCCATCCTACCCTTCCTCTCATTTTCTTTTCCATTTTCCTTCGCTTTACCTCTTCTTGCATCTGGGTTCTTCTCCAGGAAGCAACTCTAATCTAATCTATAAGAGCGCCTTTTAATGCTCCCTGACACATCCAGCATCAATGGCTGATCCAGCTATGCCCTAATTTTCAATATAATTAATTAATTGACCAGCAATGGACATCTTGGAAAAAGGACCAAAGTCAAGGGTCCAGAAGCAAGAGAGGGTTTAATTTGGGATGCGTGGTCAAATTTCACTGTCAGCTACTCAGCTCTACTCCGCTCACACTGCTCCATGTACAAAGCTACAAAAATATAATCCCAACATGAATATGTACAAGTATTACAACAAAACTGATCGAATCACACGGTGACCATAGGCGTGAATTTAAAAGTTTTTTTTTTTTGGGTTTATTTTCACCCTTATTTATTTTCTTTTCTCGGGACTGTCTATCTGCTTTGCTAACAATCTCTATAAACAGAAGAATCTATGTGAGAGGAACATAATTGTTTCGTAATAACAGAATTTAACTCACGATTACTCGTACCCCGTTGAATTATGGGATAATCCGACAATGACGGAAAAGCAGCTGAGTTGCGGCCTCCGAGTGAGGTCGCGTCCGGTATCGACTCGGGCGCTGTGATCAAATCGACGTTCTTCAACACAAACCCGTTGTTGACGAGTTGACTCAATATTGCTGAATCGGACACCAAGTTCTTCCTCTTGTGTTGCGTCGCGGCTCGAACGATCCCTATCAACATCGCATTCGATAATCTCCGAATTCCACGCTCGCCGCCCATTACGACGGCAGAGTCAACCGGGCGGTTAGACTGAGTTTTGTCAGGGGTCTTCTTACTGTGCTTACTGTCCGGTACAGAGTACATAAAAACGGACTCGGAGCTCCGATTCCTGACTCGTCCCAGTGGGTCGCTTGTAACCACCAGATTCTTCGCGTCCACGAGCATTACGTGCTTGAAGTTCCGCCTGACTCGGCCCAGTAACATGGGATAACATGCCCATCTTCGCAATTTTAAAGGAACATGATCTAGAAAACCGGCGAGCGAGTTTTCCGGGTCGAGTTCAGTGGCGTCGAAGCTGAGAACCGACCCGTAACTCAACTGAGCCGCCTCTTTGCTGCCCTCCTCTGCTTCTGGTCTTGTGAGATTGCCTCGGGATTTCTTCCCCCACAGTGGCTCCCCAGTTACCTTTCCCTTCTTTCCAACCTTAAAAAACCGAGCACCGTCGAAATTCGACTCCGGCTTCTTCTTAAGGCTCGGGTCCGTCGGGTTCAATTCTGTATAATGGTCAATGAGAGACAAGAACAAGTCGTTCTCTTGCTGAATAATGGAGCCGAAGCTCGAAGACGAAGAAGCAGAAGCGAAGATGAAAACGACATCTGCTCTAGCAGTGAGACCAGACCGGTGCAGAACTCTGAGAAACAAACGGAGCTCATCGTCGGTGGTGTCTTCAACCACGTGAGCCACAACAAGATCACTCATGGCTCTGGTTCCTCTTCGATACAGGGTACCCATTCGTTGTAGAGCAGTTGAAGGGAAAGAATACTCAATCTTTGATACTTCGTACGATTTGGGTTTCCACCACATTTGGGGTAACCAATTGTGGATTTTGGATTTCGAAGTGGGATTGTTGGGAATATTGCGAATGGTGGGAGGTTTCTGAGATAGGAATCGACGAGGAGGGTTGTGCATAAGGGTATTGCGGGGAGAAGGAAGAGAGGGTTCGAAAGTGGACAGAGTGAAGAGGAGAAGAGTGATGAAGATGAAAAGCGCACAGATTGAAATGGTGGATTGAGCTTTAGAGAGGAGGAAACTGGAATTTCTTCTTCTGAAGGAGGAACCAGGTGATCTAGAGGGTGAGGGTGAAGAAGAAGAAGATGATGAAGATGAAGTAATAGAGGGGGAAGAGAAAAGCTTGCTCTTGTCGGCAATGGCAGAATCGTCTTCAGGGAAGAAGACTACCAGAAGACCCATGTTCCTGCTAGTGTTATCGGCAGTGCTGGCGTTACTGCCAGACCTCGCCTTTATTTTCGCCAGTAAACCCATATTCGTCTCTGCTTTGCTCTGTGGCCGTCAAAAACGCTGCGAAGCTTTTAACTTGCTCTGTTTTTTGGACGCTTTGGAAACGATAACGAAGAAGAGTTATGACGCCCTTCGGCGATCCGGTTGTTTGCTTCGCCGTCTATGTTCTATTTGCCCACAACGTTGTTGTCGTTCTTTGTTCCTTTATTATGATATTAGGAAAATGTACATTTGTATAGCCGTATTCCATATATAGGCTAACATCGATATAAAACTATGAATGCGTGATCTATCTAGTTTTCAAAATCTTGACCCCAAAATATTTATATCGATAAATTTTAAATTTTTATTTTGTTAGCGCTGACTCTTTATAATTGATTTATTTTTTTTAAAAAACCCACGCACAGTGACCTTTTGAGACCGACACGAGATATGTTAATTCTACAAAACTTGATGATATATAAGATTATGTTTTATGATAAATGGATAGATAACGATTACTGAAGATTTTCTATCTTGTTCTTTAGTATAATTCTGAGCTTTTAATTTTTTATAATGTTTTGAAATTTTAAAACGTTTACATGTTTTTCAGTAGTGTTAGCCGTGTACTGATAGGATTAGTAACATCAGCACAAATATTTAGAAAAATTTGCCCATGGGCACCTCCGTGCCTACGTTGAGAATTAATGGATTGCCGTTGCCTGTATCTTCATGCATTAAAAAGTTAGTACTCTAAAATACTCCCCTTGTTAATTTAGTTTTTAAATTAATCTTATTAATATTTTTTTAATAATAATTAAATAGGAGAGGAACAGAGGGAGTTAATTAATGAAGATTTTTAGGATATTTTAAAAAGTTAAAAGAACGTATCATGTTAACTACTATCATTAATCTACTCAAATTAATTAATTAGATTGTATATTAAGGATTAGAAGAGTAATTCATATAAGAGTTAAGATGCGTCCAGCACCACGAAATATTTTGTGATACATCTAGTATTCTTTTTTTTTTTGCCTTGGCACTGAATGCATACAAAAATATTTTGGAATGCGTCTACTATAAGCATTTTAAGAAATGCTTTAGGATGTTAAATGCATTAAAAAATATTTTAAAGTACTAGATGTATTTAAAAAAATATTTCAGGATATTAAGTATATCATAAAATATTTTGAGGCACAGAAATGCACCCGGAAAAAGTCGGTGCTTCATGCACCTCCTCCCTTCGTGTAACATTAGACATTTAGACAATTAGCTCTTCAAATATGTATTCATGAACAGCTGTCTCTGATATTATTTATTGCCGTTAAATAGGTCGGGTCTATTAGCTCATCAACCGAGTTAATTTGAACTCATAATGAGGATGCCCTCGGGCAACTATGCTATATCACGTAAACATAACTGTATATTTTTAGTTAAAAACAAATATCAATCACAGTGATCAGTCCTTTATAGATTCTGATCACTTGATAATTGTGCTTTTCAAAGGTAATCAGCTGAAATTTTGCTGAAGAAAGGGTCCATCAGCTGAAAATTTTACTCCAATTAAATTGCATTTTACTCCTTTCCAGATGAAAAGGTGGTCCAGTAGAGTTCAATTTTGATCCATGACTCCACAACAACAACCCCCAAACCTATAATAAAAAGTAAAAAACAAAAAACAAACACCCAGGCGGGTGTTGCATGCAGTAAGTCAAATGGAAAATAAAATCTTAAGCCTCACACCACGGCACCATGCTAGCAGATCGCTAAACGTATAAGTTCCTATTTATCTATGATTAAAATCATTTATAAACACGTTTCGTATAAATTAAAATAAAACGCTCCTCATATACTTATTTTATATTTTGTAAATAATAATAAAAAAAACTGTTTATAAGTCATTATAGTATAGACGGAATACATTTAGCATAACACGCTCTTTTTTTGCCCCGCCAAATATTAACACGATCGTCAGTTCATTATTTTTAATTGAGCTTTTAAATTTGGAAAAGTTCAACTTAATGTACTAAAATACTACTCTTTCGATTCTAAATATAAGATATATTTTGTAGTATAATTATTTAGAACCGGAGTAGTACTACATTATTAAATATACACTACAAGAGACGGAATTTATATCCAACACAAAATGTCAATTATTAGCGTGTAAGCTCACTTCAGTGACGTAGAAGAATTGACGGAGGCTTGTTCCGAGTTCTTGACTGCCCATGCAAATTTTCGTGTGCTGTTGGAGGCTGACATAAAGAAAAATCTAAAGGAAAATTTTATCGGACTGCTATAAGACCGGCTATGTTGTATGGTAGTGAATGTTGGGCAATAAAGGGAAAACAAGAGCACAAAGTTGGGGTAGCAGAAATGAGGATGTTGAGATGGATGTGTGGTCATACAAGAAAAGATAGGATTCGAAATGAAAATATCAGAACAAGAGTCGGTGTGGCACCTATCCAAGAGAAAATGGTTGAAAATCGCTTAAGATGGTTTGGACATGTGCAGAGAAGGCCATTGGAGGCCCTGATGAGGAGGGTGGATCAGACAAGATAGAGTCCCATAAAAAAGAACAGATGAAGACCAAGAAGAACGCTTAATGAGGTCATTGAACGAGACCTTCTAGTCAACAACATATCTAAGGACTGGGTTGTTGACAGAGCACGATGGCGTCGTGTAATTCATGTAGCTGACCCCACCTAGTGAGATAATGCTTGTTGTTGTTGTCAAATAAAAAGACCAAATTGCCCTTCCTTTTAAATATTGTTTTTAAAGTATTACAACCCCACTGCCCGGCCGGTCGCTGGAGCTCCTACGACCTGCCGACAATTGGTCACCGGAGCTCCGTCAGTTAGAATTTTTTTTTTGAAAATTTTTACAACTTCAGTATAACGGTTAACAACTTTTGTAACGCTATTAACAACTTCAGTATAACAGTTAACAACAGATTTTTTAGAAAATTCAACAAGCTCTGACGGCCGGAAATAAATTTTTTGAAAATTTTTACAATTTCAGCATAATAGTTAACAACTTTTGTAATGTTATTAACAATTTCAGTATAGCGGTTAACAACAGGTTTTTGGGGAAATTCAATAATTGGATGCCGGAGCTCCGGCGGTCAGAAACAATTTTCTTAAAAATTTTTACAACTTCGGTATAACGGTTAACAACTTTTGTAATGTTATTAACAACAGATTTTCTGAAAAATTCAACAAGTTTCGATGGGCGGAAATAATTTTTTTGAAAATTTTTATAACTTTAATATAACTGTTAACAACTTTTGTAACGCTATTAACAACTTCAGTATAGCGGTTAACAATAGATTTTTCAAGAAATCCAAAAAAAAACATTTTTACAATTTCAATAATGCCATTAACAAACTCAAAAACTTGTTGTTAACTGTTATATCAAAGTTATTAATAGAGATGCAAAAGTTGTTAACCATTATACTGAAGTTGTAAAAAATTTAAAAAAATAGTTGTTAAAGTTATAAAAATACCATTTTTTTTAATTTTTAAGAAAACCTGTTGTTGAATGTTATACTAAAATTGTTAATAGAGTTACAGAACTTGTTAACGACATTATTGAAGCTGTAAAAATGCTACTTTTTGAATTTTTTTGAAAAACTTATTGTTAACTGCTATATTGAAGTTATTAATAACATTACAAAAATTGTTAACCGTTATACTGAAATTATAAAAATTTTCAAAAAAAAAATTGTTTCCAGCCACTGGAGCTCTAGCGACCAATTGTTGAATTTTTTGAAAAACCTGTTGTTAACCGCTATATTGAAATTGTTAATAGTGTTATAAAAGTTGTTAACCGTTATACTAAAGTTGTAAAAATTTTCAAAAAAATTGTTTCTAGCCGTCAGAGCTCCGGCGACCAATTGTTGAATTTTTCCAAAAACCTGTTGTTAACTGCTATATTGAAATTGTTAATAGCGTTACAAAAGTTGTAAAAATTTTCAAAAAAAATTGTTCGGCTGTTGGAGCTCCGGTGTCCAATTGTTGAATTTCTCCAAAAACCTATTGTTAATCGTTATACTTAAGTTGTTAATAGCATTACAAAAGTTGTTAACTGTTATACTGAAATTGTAAAAATTTTCAAAAAAATGCCGGAGCTCTGGCGACCAATTGCTAAATTTCTCAAAAAATTTACTGTTAACCGCTATACTAAAGTTGTTAATAACGTTACAAAAGTTGTTAACCGTTATATTGAAATTGTAAAAATTTTCAAAAAAATTATTTCCGGCCATCAGAGCTTGTTGAATTTCCCAGAAAACCCGTTGTTAACTGCTATATTGAAATTGTTAATAGCGTTATAAAAGTTGTTAACCGTTATACTGAAGTTGTAAAAAATTTTAAGAAAATTGTTTCCGGACGCCGGAGCTCCGGTGTTCAATTATTGAATTTTCCCAAAATTCTGTTGTTAACTGCTATACTGAAATTGTTAATAGCGTTACAAAAGTTGTTAACCGCTATACTGAAGTTGTAAAAATTTTTAAAAAATTTATTTTCGGCCACCAAAACTTGTTGAATTTTTCAGAAAACCTGTTGTTAACTGTTATACTGAAGTTGTTAATAGCGTCACAAAAGTTATCATCGTTATACTGAAGTTGTAAAAATTTTCAAGAAAAATATTTTTGACCGACGGAGCTCCGGTGACCAATTGTCAGCCGATCGCTAGAGCTCCATTGACTGTCGTTGCTGGAGCTTCGGCGATCGGCCGGCCAATGAGACTGTGATACTTTAAAAACAATATTTAAAAGGAAGGGTAATTTGGTCTTTTCATTTGACATGATAATACCAATTTAGTCTCATATGATCAAAATGGCATTTTTCAAATTCAACGGACATTCTGGTGATTCTGAAGTTAAGAAGTTAGTATTTTTCTGTCTTTTTCTTTTTTTGTAATGTGAATTGTATCACAAAATAAATTTTAAATTTAGAATGAGTTGTAATATTGAATTATGAAGCTACTGGGAGAAAAATAGCCGCCCCTGCCGACAAAAAATGTGAGGGTGAGAAAGTATTGGTGGAGCGGATGGTAGACGGAGGCTGGTAGGGTCCAATCCTCGATACACATAATAAACATGACCACCCTGGCATTTTCACGGAATCAAGCTCAGATGTCCTTTCGCACTCATCACGCCTCCTTCGAATCCCTGTTTCCTCTATAAATTTTTACTATTATCCAGTAGTATAAGCATAGTTTACAGAGCTGGTCAAAAAAGCATATTTACTAGAATACTCAGCAGCAAATGTAATAAAATTATACTACTTCTGATTCTAATTATAAAAATTAGTTAATTAATTTAAATTT